AGTGTTCATAATTATACGTTTCTCTTCCATGGTGTGCCTTTTGCTTTCCATAGATTCGTACAACTCCATGGCCGTTTGATTTACTCTTTGACCGTAAATTTGTGCGCTTTCACTACTCTTTTGTCGCAATGTGTTAAACTCTATTTGTAATTGTGTAGCGCTTTGCTTTGCAGAATACGTAGCTTCTATTTCTGCCTTTAACTGTCCAAAATCGCAAATATCCTTCGTTTCAAAATCAATCAATGCTTGCCCTTTCAGCTTGGTTCGCAATACTGCTTGCAAAAGAGCGGGTTCCTCCGCAGGGTTGACCATTCCCTTTGCGTACTCGCATGCATTCAAAAATTCTCGAACTTGCTCGGATGATTTCCTAGTAAACGTCGGTATCATTCCGACCACGTCTTTTAACTTTAGACTTCCATTATACAACACGGCGGTGCCGCACGTTACGTCTAGCTGTTCGCTCGGACGTCTGTACACGTGTCGCGTCATCGACACACCCGTCCCGCGCCCGTGTGTCTCGCGGAGTTCCGTCATCCGCCGGTCCACCGCGTCTATTCGCGAACTTATCATTTCTAATGACCGCATAACCTGATGTAGCATTGTGTCAGTGGGGTTGTAACCTTGCCCACTTGCTCCCGCGGCCCCGCGCCCCGCGGTGCCGCCCGCAGTCAACTCGTTTCGCATTCGGGAAATTTCGCGTTCCACTTCTTCGCGAGCCCGGTTTATATTTTGTTCGTCAAATTTTTGATCCATACTTTCGTTATTCATTTCGGCCCGCTGTCTTGTGTAAAACAACTCGCTCTCGTATGAAACTAAAGAAGACCTCTGAGTACCACTGCCCGAAGTTCCACTATTTTCAACTCTACCGCGATTTATTACACTTTGTAAATGACCGGCTATACTACCGTCTAAATCGAACGGAAATTCTCTTTCTACAATTACATTCGGACTCAAATTCCTATCCTGCCTATTTATTTCTGCTTCTTGATAAAGCGCCGCCGGTGCGGTTTTCGGTTCCCGTACCGGTACTATACTTCGTAGCGACCGCGCTACTCGCTCGGATTGTTCGCCGCGTTGTTGCAAACGCCAGTTACCGAACATATGTTTTAGCTCGCTTTTACAAAATTTATTCGACTTACAGTAATTGACCTAATTCCGCTTACGAGAGTCGTATCTGCGTGGTGTTGCTGACTCAGCTTTCCTCGCGCCGCCGCTGCCGCTGCCTCGCCGCTTTGTTGGTCTGTTGTCTCGCTGCTTCTCTGCTACCGCTGCTTCGCTGCTACCGCTGCCTTGCTTGCGTTGACTACCTTGTCACTTTTTCGGCTATCCTTAGCTGGTTCCTCGGTGCCCTTCCTGGCCCTTCTGTCTCAGCTGCTTGTCTGCTTGTCGCTTGCTGCTTCCGGAATTACCCGGCGGTAGATTTTGTTTTTCGTTCTGCTACTGCAATCCGGCCGCTTTCTTATCTCCGCCTTGTGTCACTGCCCGTCGCTTGGCTTGCGTTAGGTCAGTGTTGCCGTGTAACTCGAGACTGTGAGTTCGCGGTGTCTTTCTTTCTCTCTTGAACCCGTAGTTCGCAAGACACTCTTTTAACGACTGCTTTTTTTTTGTTTCAGGATCAGTACTCCAGACCGGAACGGGGGTTTTTCCATATATATTTTACACTGATATATATGTTTTATATATTTTTTATTTTAAATATACCCCTATTTTAAGCTTGAACTCTACCGTTCTCGTTCTCTGTTTTTTTCTTCTCACCCAGTGTCTTTTTCCTTGATCCAACCGGAATCTCTTGCAGAGTCCCGTCCTTGACACACGGATTGAGAGATCCCACCGCTGCCACCAAAATTTGTTGGAAGTCGAGGAAGGTCGGGTGGTAAAGATGAAGTTCTGATCACGAACTTGTATTCTTATCTTTATTGCTCCGATTACAACGTTCCTTTTGTTTCTTACATGGCTGTTCCTCACTGTGGTAATCTCTCCGGCTTGCGGAGCCACACAGTGAGCTAGCAGTCTGATCACGGTCTCCGCTCTGCTTCATCCACGCGTTCGATTTATAGTAGATCGATCGCGCTGATTCAGCAGGCCCACCGGTCCTAGCAACGGCCGTGCTAGTTACCAGTGCCGTTGTCGACACATGCTGCGTTGCACTTCGGACAATGCGGCGATGTATCGCACCATGTGGCAACCAGCAGTTCTTCCTAGAACTGCTGCCTTCTTGCAACTTACCCAGGTCATTGAGCAATGACAGTGATGTCTCATTACATTGCTCAATGGCCTCATCTTACCTTAACTTTTAACACAAAAATGGGCGCACAACACTACCAAGCCGGCCACAAGGTGAGGCACGTTACCGACGTTGCGCGCTGTTCTTGCGTATGACAATATCTCGAAACACTTTTTTGAGACTTAGTTTTATAAAAAATACATAAAATTATTGAGAATAGTAAAACATCTTAATACGTATTATGTATTTATAGCGTTAAATTATTAATAGTGAATTAATGCGACGTAACATGTTTAAATTATGGAAGAAAGTTTATTCATGTATATTTATATGTAAATATGTGTATTTATATATAAATATGTGTATATTATACATATTTATATATTAAAGTTTAAAAAAATATAGGAAAAAGTGCCGATACAAACAAAGATCAGGATTTCTTTGTAAATAAATTTATTGAGTAATCTGTGTATCATGATTTTGAACCATTACTGAGTTCTTTAATGTTATAATTTAAAATACTTTGTTAATATTGTGTATATATAGTACCAAAAATATAAAAATGTGAAAGTCAGAAAGTCTGAAAAGTTTGAAAGAAAAGTCTTTCTCCCGATCCAGAACGTAACACAAAGATCGGGATTTCTTTGTAAATAAATTTATTGAGTAATCTATGTATCGTGATTCTTAATCATTACTAAGTTCTTTAATATTATTTTAAAATATTAGGTGCGCAACTAAGTTCCCGCTGTTTGTCAATAGATGGCTCCAGCAGTAAGTGCTGGTCGATTTTGACATATCCAAAACGTCACGAGCCAAGCTTAGACATATGGTAAAGAAACCGCTTTGACACGTTAGTGATTTTGTTTTGGCGTCATATACTTTTGGTTGTGTGAAAATGTCTGATTTTGTACCAAATAATCGTCATTTGCGGGAAGTGTTGATTTTATCAATACAAGTCGAGGACTTCCTCAAGGATCTGTTTTAAGTCCCATACTGTTTAACATTTATGTGTCACAGGTCAAGTCCCGCCTATCTGCAGCCGTTAAAGCCCTTATATACGCCGACGACATAGTGATCTTCTGTTCGAACCCCTCAGTGTCGGTTGTCGCTCAGAAACTGAATGTGGCCCTGAACCGAGTACAGTCCCACTTAACATCTCTTAGTCTTCAAGTCTCACTTAGTAAATCTGTAGCCACCTTCTATTTACTCTCTGCTCTCTAAGAAACATGAAGTGGCTCTTAAAAAAGAAAGGAGTAAATGTCCACATAGGTGGAGTTAAACATAGAGTAGACAGTAAGGTTCCTTGGAGTCCACATCGATTATTCTCTCTTGTGGAAAAAACATGTAGCTGAAACAAGAAAAAGAGTTCTTCCTTGCATTAACATCCTTAAGGTACTGGCAGGGATAAAGTGGGGAACCCACCCCGCTGTCTTGCTAACTGCGTACAAAGGACTGGTACGCTCCGTCTTAGAATGGGGCTGCCAGGTAACCTTCCCTCTTGATACACGTGAGAACATCGTGTTGGACCGCTTACAGTTTGCTTGTGCTAGGGTAGTTTGTGGTGACCACATAGAGCACAACTCCGACCAATGTGTTACTCGACATTGTTGGCAAACAACCCTTACAGTGTAGACACAAGTATCTCGTTAGTAAGTATGTATGTAGAGTCTATGCGAGGTCCAGCCACCCGTTGGGACGGCTACTGAGTGACACCTGTGGGACGTGGGAACCTATTTGTGCAGAAAATGAGTTCGGACTCTTCTCCATGTACCAAGAACTTCAACACCTTGTTAAGGATGTTAAAAGGTTCTCATTCCCGGAGAGCCTTGCCCTCTCGTACCATGTCAGGTTCTTTGAATGTGAGGTGGATACTGACACAGGATTCCTCGCACGTCGGGCCGAAGACCCACAACAATATCTCAGTGACTACTTTAGAAACCGCGGCATCTCTAGGGTGTTTTTCACCGACGGGTCTCGATCCCCGGGCTCGGATAAGACATCACCTGCGGTTGGTTTCGCTGTAGTCCCTGAAGATCCCGAACTCGTCCACTACGAACGTGTAAGTAATAACTCTACTATCTTTGATGCGGAGGCCCATGGCATTGTCTGTGCCCTGGAATACCTAAGAGATTTTGGTTTTACAAAGGTTGTGATAGCCTCTGACTCTCTCAGCGTGATCTCTTGTTCCGGGTCAACCGATCCTAAGAGTACACACTCTCCGCTAGTCTATCGAATAAAAGAGCTAGTACTGGAACTAAAAAGTGCTGGCGTGTCGGTGGTGTTGATGTGGGTCCCTGGACACTGCCAGGGGCGGCGATCAGTATGTGGAATTGGGGAGTACTCCACACATGTAAATTTGAGTTGTGTGGAATTTCCACATATGTCGAGCAGTCGAACTATATCCAAAAAATAATTAGATTTTTTATGAGCGATATCTCAATAATCAAAGGCTGCGTTCCGATATTCACTGCCAGTACTGGAAATCTATAGCACATGTGACGTGAAATATAGATTTTCAGTACTGGCAGTAAATATCGGAACGCAGTCAAAGCTGTACGCGAGAACCGTTGACGTCACGCGTGCGTATACGGCATTGTCGAGCACACGGACATGTGACGTAGCAATTTTTGTCTGTGTGCGGCTCGACATATGCGAGCGACAGGCTAGCGAACCTAACCTAACCGTATCTAACGTACTTATTGAGTCGGCTTATTGTTGTGTGCGTGACGTGCTAGATGTAGTGAATCTACACCTGCTTGGTGTGTGTATGCCACACAATGGATAAATATCTTACTAGGGAGTCTAAAAGGCCCAAAGAAAAGAAAGAAGAAGAGAGCGACAAAACGATGATAACCGTTGAGTCATATTCCACTACAATAAACGAAAACAATGTTTTAACTTCTATTTTTCCCTCAGATAAAAATAATGATCAGTGTGTAGAAAAAAGTTTACAACAAAACAGTAAGTTTATTTTTATTTTTTAGAATATGACTTTTAAAGACTTTCTGTAGATTTTATTCTATAAAAGCTAATGATTTTTTAAGAAATACGTGATTTCATAATATGAAATAAAAAATTTATACTTAAAATATTTTGGAATATAATTTTACATAATTGTTTCACATTAAATTTGAAAATATTTATATACTATTTGCGCATTATATTTACGAATTGTTTATTCTCACCTTACTCACCTATAAGATTTATGTGAAGCAACTCAAATTTGCATAATTTTTAAGGTCAATGTCCAGCAGTAGTTCCACAGTGTTTTAAACGTTGGCAAACTACCTATTCCTGGCTAGAACTTTGTTCAAACAAAGCATTTTGTTCCGTTTGTATTGATGCAAACGAGAAACAATTAACAAACATAAAAAATAGACATTCTGAAAATTCTCAAAACGCTTTTGTTAAAAACGGATTTTGTTCTTGGAAAAACGCCTCTATAAGACTAAAGAATCACAATAATAGCAAATTTCATAAGGACTCTCTAGTAGCATTAGCTAATTATAAAAAAACAAGCGTCATTGAACACATAAGCAGTCAAAAACAGAGTGAGATGATGTTGGCTCGAACAGCGTTATTGAAGATATTTAGCACTATACGTACTCTAGCTCGACAAGGATTANCTGTACGTGGAAGCAATAATGATGAAAATTCCAATTTGCAACAATTTTTAAAAATGAGAGCAGAAGACTCGACTGAATTACATGCTTGGCTAAATAGGTCTAGTTATAAAAGTACCTGGCTACATCACGATGTCATTAATGAGATATTACAATTAATGGCTAATAAAATTTTGAAAGAGAAACTTAAATTGATTAAGTCATCGAAAGTATTTTCTATACTAATGGATGAGACCTCAGATAATTCTAGACTAGAGCAAGTATCACTATGTGCAAGAATTGTTTTGGAAGATCTGACTATTGAAGAGATATTTTTGGGGTTTTATCAGACAAGTGATACTAAGGCAGAAACATTATTTAAAATATTACAAGATGTTTTAATCCGATATGATCTAAGCATCAACAACTTGAGAGGGCAATGTTATGATGGAGCGTCTAACATGAGTGGAAAATTAACGGGCTTACAGACACGTATACTCGAAATTGAACCACGTGCTTTATATGTTCACTGCTCAGCGCATTCGCTAAATTTAGTTGTACAAGATGCTTTAGAAAATGTAACGTCAGCAAGAAATTTCATTGGATTTGCGAAAGAAATAATCAATTTCATTAGAGATTCGCCAAAGCGATTATGTCAATTTAAAACCTTACAATCAGAAGGAAATCGAAATTTGACACCTTACTGCCCTACAAGGTAATTTTCTTGGTTTTCTTAATATTATATGCAATATTATATCTTTTAAAATAAATATTAAAAATGCTTTTCTTAAAAAGTATACAATAAATAAGAAAACAAGCATATCTCATACGTTCTCTCAGCTATAGAAAATCATAGCATAATCTGTTAAAAATCTTTTT